AGACGGTGGTCGTAAAAATTCAAACGTGATTATCGTGTATACGTTGATTGACTTTTGTATGAACTCACAGTTGATCTCAGAGAGTGTTTTTCCTTCCCGGGTGCTTCTGCTGGTTGAGCGAATTCGATGAGGGACGGACACCGGAGACTGAGAGGACACGCACACAGACACAGAGAAAAGAAAGAGAGACACATACACATAGTCAAATAAATGCTCAAATGAACCACCGCGGCGGTTTTGCAGGCCACTCGAGAAGATTACACAAGGTGGAAAAAGGTTTGCTATTTCCTCTAAGGAGCGAGGCGGGGGGTTGATGACACAGCAAAAAACAGCCAGCTGCACGCAGCAATGAAGTCAACACAATCAAATCAAACAAATGGTACCACTTCAGAAAGTTTACATCTCTCGACACAGTGAGAAGAAGTGCCGGACATTAAAGGCGCTGAATATCTTCGATATCTTTCCACTCAATGGTTTTGTATAACCCATGTAAGAGACGTAAAAATATCTCTCTGATGCATCTGATCATTTATCTTTGAGAAGAAAACAAAGGGCATCGGTCACGCAGTTCCTTCATCAACGCGGGCTGGGCGATATGGACAAAATTTCTTATCTCAATATTCGTGCCAGATATAAAACGAAGCCTTTTAATTTTTTTTTTTTTTTTAAGTAAAAGCAATATATCAATCCTTCTCCGGCATTAAAGTCAGCAATAAATAAAAAAAAAAAATTACCACAAGCTTGGCAATTTTATCCACTGGTGCATATCAAATTATAAATATGATTCCGTATTGTTGTAAAAAAACAACAACTGTATACAGGAAGTATGTCTACCACATATTCTGTCTCTCTATAGCTTGACGGCACACAACTGTGTTTCGCTGGCTTATGACACGGAAACGGATTTCCCGCGCGTGTGCTTGGGCATCTGCAAGTTTGCCATTGTCTGGCTTCAGCTGTCTATCAGTGCAAAAACTTGAAAGGAGGTATGTGATTGGTTGACCTGACCTGCAAATGCAGTGCACGAGCGTGGACAGCCCACATGACTGACATTGGCTTGAAAATGTCGATGGAGAATATTCATATCTAGATGTCGATACCCAGCCCTAATAAGCAAATTTACACCACGCTTTCAAAAGAAGCAATACTTGAAATTATTGATTTTCATTATAATACATACGGGTACATCTCAAATTAGAGTATCAGAGAAATTTTTGGTTCAGCAATTTTGTATTATATTTTTTATATTTTTATGTATTATTATAATATTATGCAGTATAAATTGATTAAACACATTCCAATTGGTCATGAGTCATTTGGGGTTTTTGTTCGATTTAAGCTTTAGCTCGGGGTGGATGGATGGAAGTGAACTCCAGTACAGTCAATGACAAGAAACTGTTGAAGTGAGTTGAGGATCTCTTTCAGACGAGAATATTCATATCTAGATGTCGATACCCAGCCCTAATAAGCAAATTTACACCACGCTTTCAAAAGAAGCAATACTTGAAATTATTGATTTTCATTATAATACATACGGGTACATCTCAAATTAGAGTATCAGAGAAATTTTTGGTTCAGCAATTCCCTCATATTATGCAGTATAAATTGATTAAACACATTCCAATTGGTCATGAGTCATTTGGGGTTTTTGTTCGATTTAAGCTTTAGCTCGGGGTGGATGGATGGAAGTGAACTCCAGTACAGTCAATGACAAGAAACTGTTGAAGTGAGTTGAGGATCTCTTTCAGACAAGAATATTCTTTTGTCGCCATCATGTGGCATCTATAAGCAATTGCAGTATTGTATGAAGTCAACAACCTGGGCTCTGTCTCTGTGACCTGTGAAAAGCAGCGGTGCACTGTGCTGAAAATTTCGGGAGTTTTCCACAATATTCGAATTCATTGAGATACACCTGTGTATTGTATTTCAACTATTACCTGTGAAACCTGTACTGTAAAGTAAATCAACGCCACCGGCCACTATATGAGGAAATACACTATTGTGAGCCATCGTCCAGCTGTCGGCATCGGTATGGATTTCAAGATTTCCGCGACAACATCAACTCAATGGCAAATGCACTCCAATACAAGTCACACGCTTTGTTCAGACATCACTGCAGACACCGCATCAACCGAGGTGGTACCTTCCGACGGGCAGGAAAGCGGGGCGCGCGCCGAGCGCCGGGACTTATGGCTAGGAAGTGACCCCTGTACTTAAACTGTGGAGGAGCAGGAGGAGGAGGGGAGAGGATGGTGGAAAGGCAGACAAGAACAGAAGAGAGGAGAGGAGAGGGAAGGGAAGAAGGGGAGGAGGAAGCGCTGCGAGATGGAGAAAAGAGGAGAGCATTTAGTGAGGCAGTGCAACGGAGGAGGAGGAAGTTAAGGATGCTGGGAGGAATTGTCGACGTGGGGAATTTTGGACAAATGGTGAACAGATGAGACGTGATTTGGGGGATGAAGGAAAAGAGGCGACAGAGTAAAAAGGTCAGTACCATGGCCGCCATGTTGGAGGCAGGATGAAATATTTTACTCAATCAACCCACATTGCCATGGGAACTTTCCAACTTAAAAAAATTCCTGGGATTTCGCAACCCCAAATAGAAATACAACAGAAGGCGTGAGGTTACCTCCGGTTCGGGGTCGTCGTCATCAAAGTCGTTGAAGTTATTGTGGTCGGGATTTTTGGCTCGGTCCAGCAGCTCTTTAGCCAGCGTCCTGCTCAGGGGCTGAGACACAAACGGGTGCTGCAAAGACAGAAAGGAAGTGAAGCTTTCAATTTCGGAGGGGACCAAATTAAGTTTCATTTTACATCTATTTGACGCTCCTGTGCTGAACAAACACAAGGATTTTACTTGGAAATCTACCATGAGCGCAGGAATTTCCCGAGCCATCTGAATCAAAATGAAACCCTGCGCCACGCGTTCGGAAACCTGCCGGTCAATTGTGTTCTCAAGTCACGATGACCTTGACGGCGAATGCAGAGGCATAAATACAAAACGCTTTTGTGTGAGATGATTTGTTACAAATCTCCAGATGACGTAGAGAAATAAACTGCACGCTCAATTAATGGATGGGACAGCCCACACACAGTGATGAAATGTGTAAGAGAGCAGCAAGTGGGGGACGTTGAATTTGATCATCTTGATTCAAGTTCATTCTTCTAAAATATTACGCAGAATCAACATGGACGGCAACATATTCGAGAACCGGTGTACTACATCAATGACTTTCTCACCTGTAGCAGCTTCTCAGCTGTGGGCCTCTTCTTTGGGTTCTTAGTCAGGGCTACTTTGACAAAATGGTGAAAGTTGTCCGTCCTGTGGCCCAGAAAATGGTACAGAATGTAAAGGACAAAAGTGACTCTGCCTTCTGGAGAGGATTTAGGAACAGCGCCTTACCATTTGACCTTGTCTTTCAACTTAGGCGGCTGGAAATTACTCTTGGTCATTAAGAAAAGAGCCCTGTGGAGGGAAGAAGGATGAAGATCACAAAGAGGATTCTGTGTCATACACGGAATGGAAAATATTTATTGGCATTCTGTGACGATGTGGGAATGTGTCGCTCTCCGGATTCAATGACGAGTGTTGCTTTCACTTCAATGGCTTCTACTTGGGAAAGAGAGAGCCCATAACGGCAGAAAAACTGCATTCAAATTTCCCCTCGCCGAGATCGCACTTCATCACCGAGAGTGACACGTATCGCTGACTGAGCCGACCTGTGCACTTGGCAGCTCATAAAAAGTGAGACGCTTGGCCTTTAAAAAGTATTTTCCGTCAGCTGCTCCTTTTAAGTTAAAAATGGGGTCAGTTTGGTACGACGAGCAAAATCCACAGCGCAGTGCTCACACACCTCATGGGATGCAGCTCAAACATGGGTGGCTGCAGCTCGGCCAGCTCGATTGCGGTAATGCCCACGGCCCAGATATCACACAGCTGGTTGTAGCCTCCTTTCCTCTCCACTGCCGCCACCTCTGGAGCCATCCTGTTGCAAGCGGCGGGGTAAACACATGCTCCTATTCATTAAACTTTAAAAAGAAGAGCTGTCTCCATCAACTAATCAATAAAATTCTTATATCCTGCTGAACAAGAGGTTAGACTGCCTGGGGTTTATATGCCCTCTCCTCACATGCAGCCCCCCCCCCACCCCACCCCAAAAAAAAACAGCATCAATAACGCACCAGTAAGGTGTACCAATGAATGACTTCCTCTTGGCCAGTGTTGCTGTGATCTGCGCTGATACCCCAAAGTCAGCTTTTGAGAGAAAAAGGAACAGTGGATGAGAGAGTTATGACAACAACCACAACAACAAAAAAAGTGAGTGAGAACAAGATAAAGAAATCCCCCAGGGAAGGAAAAAGAACAAATGGAGACGGGCTGGTTTGTCTCACCGAGTTTGACGTAGCCGTTGTCTGTCAAGAGGATGTTGGCGCCCTGTTGGAGACAAATTGGGTGTCGACTCAGATTAAACGTGAGACGGTTTGTGCGCCTTGGTTGAATCGTGATTGAGTTCAGCTGCTTTTGTGCATCGCACGCACAAGAGCTACACAAAGCGTGCAAGTCAGTATGTTTAACAGACAAAAAAAAAAAAAAAAAAACACAACTGCAATAAATCATTTGAGACCAACACTTTCGGATTGCCTCGGGTTTACTGCGACATTCAATTCACAAAAAGAAAGGAAGCCTGTAGGAGCGGATGGGGGGGCTCAAGGAAATCCATTCACACTACATCGACTAAAAAAGGACTACTGGTATATTATAAAGGATACGTATGGAAGGAAAATGTAGCAGCAGCAATATAGAGCTTCTGTTTTAGACTGAGACATGACGATAATGCAACATGCATATTTCAAGAGCCAAAATTAAAATTTATATTTCCAACAATGTGTGCTGGTATATTATGAAAAAAAAAACAATAAAATAAAAGCAGTAAACCAAAATGTAAGAGTCTCTCACCCTAGTCAGCCGAAAGGAAAGTAGTAAAAAAATCGCAAAGACTATCTTAAGAAAAAGTTTACAAATGTAATTGTTTAATATTTTTTTTCTTGATATATTTATATTCTACAGCTGTTGTGAAAGCGCTACATAACTAAAAATGTATTCAATAATGTTATGCTCATCATTTTGAGGACTTTTTTTTTTTTTTTGTACAAGCGAGTAAATGCGTTGTGTTGAAACACTCCAGCAGCATTCAGCAATTATTTCTCTGGCTTTGCGCGCCGAGGCAAATCTCCTTTGTGCAGGAAAGAAAATGTTCGCATGCGTTCGAGATGTCAAGAGTTGTTAAGTTCACTCCCCAACCTAGTTTGGGCTCATTCCGTTTACTTGTTGTGACTGCAGATGATTTTTTTTTTTTTTTACTCAATCAGTCCAAAAATGAATACATAAGATGCAAATCAACACCACATTTTGTGACATTAACGCAGAGAAAGTTGTGATCCATTTCCCCCAAAAACTCACCTTGATGTCTCTGTGCATTTTGCCTTTATTGTGAAGGTAGTATAAACCCTGCGAGTACACAATCACGTAACAGCTGTTATAGCCATGGGGGGGTGAGACAACAATTACCAAAGTTCATGCACCACACACTTACCTGCAGGGTCTCCCGTGACATGTAGGCTATTTGAGACTCTAACAAAGGCCCGGTTACTACGGGGGGATAAAAAGTAGAGAGTGAAAGGTCAGAAAGGAACAGACTAGACATGACGTACACATAAACGATCAGAATGTGGGTGTCACCATGATAGATGTCCTGTAGAGAGCCTCCCCCGCAGTACTCCATGCTGATCCATAACTTGTCTCGCCTGCACGCACACACGCATATATATATGCAAATTAGGTACACCTGCATAACATAACGACAAGGGCCGGGCTACAAATTCCACCCTTGCCAATATGCCCCACCCCCAACCCGTCACCTCCCGATGGACACATCTTGATTTTCCTCATGCATTCCAAGCAACTGAACATAAGAGCCAAGATGTTAAATGATTCCTCAAACAATAAGTCTGCATTTGAACGACAAAAACTGGAACCCAGTGGCATTCAGCAACGTAATACTCACTTGTCAGCAATATTATAGTTGAGGGTGTCATTTTAGCCATGGCGTAGAAGTACCCTGCCTCAAACCGAGAGCTGTTGCCAACATTTTGGCTCCCTTATGCCACTAGTGAGTGTTGTACAGGTATATAACCTGATAAGGATCGATCCCTCATGCGGTTCTCCATCTATTGTTTTCCTTGCACATTTTTTCCTTCCTGTCCCCGCATGCTCATCATCCAATGGCGCACACAAATGTCAGGAAAACACGCAAAGTATTCTTACCGGAGATAGCTTCCAAAGTAGGCCACGATGTTGGAGTGTTTACAATCCTTCATCATCAGAATCTCCTGCTGGACAACGGCAAAGTCCTCCCCTGGAGAGAACACGGCGACGGCACATTGACTGACGGGGAAAGACGACGCTTTCGCCTCACGAGGAGATTGGAAAAATTAAAAAGCAGACGGGGTGAAAGGATAAAGAGTGGATGGAGGGAAAGTGCTCACCTGGCTCCAGTTTGATGACTTTGATAGCCGCCAGCTCTCCTGTGTTTACATTGCGAGCCTGGAAGAAGGAAAAGGAAGAAGAAGGGAGGTTTGGCAATCAAAAGGCTCCGAAACATACAGAGTACGAAATGCGCGATAGACGGCCAAAAAGTATCCTACTGTGCAGTGCATCCTGCAATTGTTTCTGAAAAACGCATGTACCACGAGGTGAGTTTTTGAACATGGCATCGACTCCGCATAGAACGTATGGACAGGAAAAAGGAGCCGTATTCCCGAAAAGCCCGGGAATTCTTTGGTGAACGGCATATTGGCAGGATAGCAAGAAGGCCGATTTTCTATAAATAGTGAGCCGTGTTTACATCTGGCCACAGCGCTTACGAAGGAAGAAGGAGTTCCTCTGTGAAACAAGACATGAATAAAAGATGATTCAAGGAGAGGAAATGTGAATTGGCCGCTTGACTCAGGGACAGAAGCCCGCATAAGAATGCGTGAAAGTGAGTGGGTTTAATGGCAGTTCAAGTTTTTTTTTTTTTCCGTCGCTACTTATTAAATGCAAATCCATTTGGATGGAAATCAGCATTGATAAGAATGGCCATATATCATCATTGGAATAAGATGATGCTCGCGATATAACGGTAGTTAGGATGTTTCAAGCGTCGCCGGCGAGCCTCTGCTTCTTATTGTCAATTGTGGAGGCGGCGTTTCATCAGCAAGCCGTCCGTCAGTTTAGCATGCAGATTCACACATGTGGCACATGCAGCAGACACATCACCAAATGCAGATAGCTGCGTGGGCAGGCATCTACTGTGGTTAAAGTTTAAACTTGTTTTGTGACTGAGCAAGTAACTCCATTTGCTCTGCAGCTTTTGAATATTTTTGGAATGGAGTATTCTCCCCATTATCACATCCATTAATCGGATAACATTAAATTTTGCATTACTCAACACATCCATCCCTGTATATGGCTTCAAATTTGAGTTATTCAATTCTCATATTTATCACGCTACAAAAGGAGCACCTCAAAGCCTTCAATTTTTTTCAAAAGCCAACAGTGCGCCTTATAATCCGATGCGCCTTGTATATGGATCAATATTCAGATTTCTTGGACGTAGTATTTTAAATGTTCTGTAAAGCGCTTTGTTACAGCGGCAGCGGTTGTGAAAGCTCAATATAAATAAAGCTGCATTGTATTGTGTTGTATTCCCTTTAGCGTAGCTCCATCTAGGACAGGGGTGTCAAACTAATTTTTGCCGCAGGCGAGATTTTAGTTAGAGTTTCCCTTGGAGGGCCGTAATGACCGAAATCATATGAAGAAGTCAACAATCACGGTTTATTCACCTATTGTTTAAGTTCTTGTAATGAGGGGTTTGGTAACAGGAAAATGCTTACGGTATCACTCGTATTTATGACAAATGAGAATTTTGGTTGCAATTTTAGCAAGCATCATGAAAGTTGACATCGTTGATTTGCTTTCGCGGAACACATAAAATGATGTGGCGGGCCAGATCTGGCCCCCAGGCCTTGAGTTTGACACCTGTGAGCCAGGAGATGCATAACGCACCCGCGGCCACTATTGTAGCTTCTATTCTATGCGCCTTATAATGCGGTGCGCTCTCTATATATAAAAAACGTTTTAAAATAGGCTATCCATTGAAGGTGTACCTTATACTCCGAAGTGCCTTATTGTGCGGAAAATACGGTAATTGTTGTGGTCTTAGGCCCCAATGACATCATTTCTATCAAAGAGCCTCCCCAAGCGTGAGACACCAGTTAGGCACCCCTGATTCAGACACCAACAGCACACATCCACATTGGCGTGATAACACGCCAGCCTTGGAGACAGAGAGCAACAACATCCAACGGCGCAGCGCTGTAGAATTCTGCAAACACACGCCCTCATCGGGACTGCGGCCTCGCCTGCATATTTAGCCAACAGCTTGGACACAACAGGCCGTGACATTTCACACGGTGCTGCGCTCGCTTTATTATTAGAGAGTCAAACTTTCGAATGAAAGCGCCGCCAGGCAAGCGACAAACGCGAGGACGCGCTTTTTGAGTCAAACGTTTAAAATGTCAACGCCAGCGCACCGCAACCGCGATGACAAAAAACACACTTGTCGTTGAGTCAAGCAGGAATGCGAGGCGCTCGGCCTTCTATTGAGGCCCCAAGTGGAGAACAGGGGAATGATTGACAGCACACAATACAACAACGCAACACAAAACCGCGTAACAAAGCCGTGGCAGGAGGGAGGAGACACAAAGAGACGTCCAAGAGGCGAGAAAGGAGACACACACAGCACAGCAGTGTGTTCGGTCGGTCTGCAGACGGATGACAGGGATGACTCATGAGCGCTCGGTGGCACCGCGAAAGCCAACAACACACACTTGAATGAGTCCATTTGATTGCGTCTGGTGTCACTGTTCGATCTGCAAGTGTTTACACGCTTGATTTTTTTTTTTTTTTTGGTTACAAGCGGCTGCTAATAAAAACCTGCGTGACAAGACATGATGTTTACACTTGTACGCTTGTCTATTTCAAATCGATCATCGGTATCCTCCGTGGTGCACCCTTGATTGCGGAGAAAAGAAATGGAAGTGGACCAACATTTACAGGAAAAGTATCCTGATAAAGTTGCACAAATCATCCAAGGAACCTCCACTGTGAGCTTCCAAAGGCCGCGCATTGTCGTGGAGCCTCGGTTTTTCTGATTGATCCGTTCGGAGAAAAGAAAGACTAAATCTATAAGTTATGGGAAACAGTAAAGCAATATTTCCTCGAGGGAAGGATGTAAATGTGATTAATCTGGTCCAAAAATGATTTTCTTAGCGCCTTTTGGCCTATGGTGGCTTACTGAACAATCACACTCAATAAGAAAGCACAAAAATTCTTCCCATCAGCATGTGGGGTGATTCAACAAGAAAACACTCAAAGTTCCAAACGGGATGTCGCTGACGGGCTCTCAATTTCAGCACGACTGGCTGGTATCATCCATTTCCAACCGCACAAAAGTTAGTGGGGGGGGGGGGGGGGGGGGGGGAAACACCAAGGTTCTATTGTATACTTTTTCTTTGGCTTTGGGGTTTTGACTGATCAAAGTTAAGACCCAAGAGTGTTGCTAGAACAGTCAAAATGTTATGATGTTACCCCCAAAACAGCTCTTCAGTTAAATTGAGATAAATGTGTTTAAAAAAAAAAAAAAAAAGTATTAAACACCCACCACCCACAA